AAAGACAATCAACTGACCAAAACTTACGCAAACTTGCCGAAACCGCAGGATTTGCAGATATTTATACAAAAGATTATAGCGGATATTTTAAAGACATTAAAGACTATATATATCTCAACGGTGAAAAATACCGACCACAAGATATCTCACCTATAAATCTTTTTAGCTTTGTTACACTCAAAAATGAAATTCTTGATTTTCTAGGATGGCCATATTACATCTTAGAAAAATTAACAATTTTATACGCAATGTTTAACTTTATAGGATTTCTTTTCTCACTCTTAAAAGGAATCTATAATACATGCGCTATACACACACAAGTAAATAGACAAGCAAGTGTAGCACGCATACTATTTGCAGGATTTTTTGGAATTTTTTCATCATCAATAAACAAAATTCTTTTAGACGCACAAATAAAAGAATACAACACAAAAATAGCAACAAGACAGAACACATATGACGAAGAACATAACAATGTAGACATTACACCTACAGCACCACAGTTACCACCCCTACCACATAACCATCCATTATCACTAGTCCCACGAAATTTTCGAAATTTAGCAATAACACATAATCCAAATTTCCGACCAACCATATCACAAAGCCCCATTCAATATATAGTAACACACAATTCACTAGATGAAAACACATATGAACAAATTATAGAACAACCACATACCACCGCTTTTCAGTCTCAAAATAATAATTTTTTTAGCCCACGATGAGCCGACAACTTGGATCCCTACACCGCTCAAATTCCCACCCAACCAACCTCAACACTCCAATTACAATATTTCCACTTTTTGCTTTCCCGCCACCCGATTTCCCAACCAATAATATAACATCAGGCATGAATTCAGACACTAATTCACACATCTCACATTTATACTCCATCTCACAACTTAATAACCCAGATATTGAAACCCCTGATGAATTTGCAGACTCTGAACCATCTCCATCCAATAATTTTCAAACCAATCCCTCAGTTTTTTCGAAACTCCCTTTTCAACCAATCCCACCAAATAACCCACTCCCATCCATTTCTACACCCTCCTATGCTTCACAAATTACCCCAACCTACTCTTCACTTCATTCAGACCGATCATCCAATTCTCCAGACACCCCCCAAATCTCCCAAGAACTAGATAATTTTATCACCTTACAACAACAACCCTTCCACCTTGACACCTCAACCATAAACCAGATTTCATCAACCATAGAATCATCAAACCCACCTACCCCTACACCCTCTTCAGCTTATACCGCATCATTAGCACCATCATCCACATCCACCGAATCATCAATTAGCACTAATAGAGCTTACCGCACTTTCAAAAGAAAATTCCCAAACCATCCATTTCCAACAAAACCAGGAACAACCCGTGAATATATTAATCACCCAAATCATACTAACACGAAAGAATTTTTAGCAATCACCTTACCTTCATTTCCACAGTATACCTTGAACACCCCTAACGACACTAACAACACACGCAGTTTTGTAGATGAACACGTTTTAATGCCTACACTTCAATGGACATCATATTATCATTTTACTAACCCCCTTTGCCTACCTTTATCGAATACTCACATCGATATAGAAAGAAATCAAAATATGCTATACCGACTCACTACACCACTAACACATAGACAATTTACTTACATAGGATATAAAAAGTCACTAAAAACATACACTGCACCCCGAGCTAACGAATATACGCTAGAATATTACTATCATAACATCATCCGAGCTAACCAAGACCAATTTTTAGATGATGATCGCTTCGCTAACCCACAAATCACAGAAAAATTTTTCATCAAAACACCATATGTTTTTACACTCAATATCTTTGATCGCAAATTCGACCACATCATTTCTGAAGCACTAACCGACACACAAGCTTACGAAAGTTTTAAAGAAAGATTTCAATTATTTTCACTAACCTTTCATTTCCTTGCACCACATGAACGAAATTTGCACTGCTCACACGACATTATGTTACGCACTAAACAAACCCACACATATACATATTACCGCTTCATACAAAATCACTTTGACCTACACACTCCATCAAGACAACCACACCATCGTTTTCAATTTATTAACTCTAAATACACATCACCATTTTTTCTTAACTTCACATATTGCATCAAAGATACTAACCTTCACGGTATTCTTCGCAATTATGACCCCATAACCCAAATGTATATTTTTTGTCCCATCAAAAAGACCTTCAACGCAGAAGAATCCAGACCCTTCCTTATCCCACATGAATTTGTTCAACCTATAGAAATCCCCATATTAGAATTCATCCACAACACTAAATATAACCACAAATTATATAATCTCATCCAAAACACACCTTATGAGTTTGCAGTTGGCACTGAAGAACTAAAAACCATTAAAGCACTTCAATTGCTTTGGCCACTGCTTCAAACTAAAAACATCATTCGCATACTAGCAAAATTACTAACAAATTCCGACATAATCCACGACATCTTCCCCCACGGTTTTTTCCCCGACGACTAACAGGTAAGTATAATTTATACATATTCTTAACTAATAAATTTAAAATAAAACACTAACCATTCTTTGTCCATGTTTTATTTAGATTTTTAGTCTTCATCCCACGATCATCTGCAAAATACACAAAAAAAATAAAAAATAGAAAACTTCTTCAAATTGTTCAAAACTCTATTAATATTTTGCACAAGCTAATCTAAATAAAATTCATACCAATGTAGTAAATTAATTTATAAATTGTTTCCCCACAAGCAGTAAATCTAATAATGATGAAAATTTGTAACTTAATTTTTCCGAAAAACTAGCAGTAAAATTGAAATTCTATGTAGTAAATTGATAAAACGAAAATGCAGTACTAACCTTTTGATATTTCATTCACTCGCACAAAAATTCTATCCAAACTCGCACAGCTCGCCCACGAAGAATTGTTTAAAATAATGAATTTCCGTTTTAAGCTTTCACACTTAACAACTCTAATACAAGATAACACGTTTCAAACTTTCCTTTAACCCGGTTGGAAAGGAATTATATACTAAACAAAACTAACCAATGCAGCTTACTAAACACCACAGATCATAGAATAACAGCATGACTAAGAAAAGGAAACCAACGGTACCCAAACCGGATTAACCCAGTTTAAAACTGGATAAATTATTCTTTTGAAGACTATTATAAAGTCTAAGAAAGAAATAATAAAACACAAAAAAGTCGAAAGACAAACCCATACCAAAAACAATTTGATTTTTGAAAAAAAGGACACAACCAACGAAACATAAGAAAAACCACAATAAACCCAACATAAAACTTTATCACATAACAGGACCTCTCACAAAAACCGCACGAAATCATACTCCCACTCCTGGCCTAACCCACCAGAGAGGACGTCCTGAGCATGCTCTATAGCCGGCCTAACCCACCGCGCTACATCCACGCTTTGTGACCACACTTCTATTTTTAATAAGAGGTACTCAAGGGTGAGTAACTCTTCAAAATAACCAAACTAAAACAAAAAGCTTTTGTGAAAACAACTAACCAAAATCATAATTAAAACACCAAACTAATAAAACTTTTATAAAATGTAAATTATACCTTGCAGTATATAGATCAGCATACAACACCAAAGACGAACATCCAAAGACAAAATGACCCCACTACACTCGAAAAAGAATGGCCAACCACAATCAATATGCCGCCCACAATCACAACTCAAAGGATTTAGAGTACGACTTGACTTCGCAGAAAAGGACTTCATTGAACTAGACCAATGACCACCTCGATGTTCAAGTATACGTACAGATCCGAGTAACCAGGCATCCCCTCCACGCACAATCTCCACGCCATTCCCAGACAAGGTCAAACACAAAAGAAGTTCTCTACATGAAACGGAAAAACCTGTCATAGCCAACCATTCTAAAATCAGATTTGAGTTTGTTGCGAAAACCCAGTCGTTGTCATGAGAAGACACAACGATTGAACCTGGAACTTCTCTAACAAGAGAACCCAGAAGAAATATGATGTTCGCCAAATACCAACGTTCATCATCCATCCTTTGAATTACAGAAAGACTATTCTAAAAAACTCTGTAAAACCCGGATGGGTGGAACCAGATCTAAACTACATTTTATGATTGGATAAATTAGATATTTTACCACTGTAAAGTATTTAATATTAACCAATCATGATCCATCTAACTAACAACCCACTTATTTGTAAGTGCTGAAATTACTTGTAATTTCAGCACCAGAGAGATTTGAATTTAACTTAGAAATTAGTTGACTCTCCGAGAGAACTTCAGCAGCCGCAATAAACCAGTATACCCTAGATCTATTGAGCCTAGCAGAGACTAGTTAAACAACCTGAGACTAGATAGTATAAGAGTAAGATTAGGATCGGTATTAGACTAAGAAGTTGCACGAATCTATCCGGCCGAAAATAAGATAGCGTGACGAGCAGACGGTGTACCCTATCCGAAATTACTCTATGAGTTAACCACCTCGGTTCTAACTCAATACGAAGACCTGCTTGATCGGCAGCTAGCTGGCCTTTTTTTGGTGTTCTTCCAAGATGGGATTTTTTTTATAGTATAAAGTTTATGAAAAATACAATTTTTTTTAAATACCTGTATTTTCAAGCGTTGAGTGCATCTTCTTGGGGCGGGGTATTTTCATGCGCAAAAGACCAAAAGCGCTAAAAGTCTCAAGCAATCAACGCTTTTTAAAGAGGACCCTTTGGTTTGTGAGGGGGTATCTGTGAGGTAAGGCGTCCAGTTCACCCCTCCCCCTTCACTCCCTTTCCCATCCGCTATTCCCGGCCCTACTTTTAACCGTCCAACATTAACTGATTTTAATGCTTGTTCTTTTGAAATTTTTGAATACTGAGCTCTAATTAGTCGTAGAAAAATGCGTTGCAGGCTTTACACAGTTATGAAGTCCAAAAACAGCAAATGGTCAATCGTGGTTTTGCTACTTTTTAGACAACAGACGAACACCTGGTGAGAAATGCATGAATGAGTCATCGGCTGACACCATCTCAAAAGAGCACATCTTCAATGTGTTAAGCAGTGACCCAGTGCTGAACCAGCTGACTGTGTTCACTAC